TTTCTTAGGATATTTTTTGGTCTTTAGTCCGGTAACAGTAGGGGCTTCGACGGCCCTGTATAGGGTTGGCCCCCTGCTGTACCGTTTTGTTCTGTTTGGCCGGCCTGCCAGGTCCAACTTTCTGTTGCTACTTTGGGTTTTTTTTTTACTTTTGGGGCACGGGATTTGAGGGCCTTATCTTACTCTTCCCTTCACAGAACATCAGAAGAAGCTGACCAAGAAGAACTAATTGAAGAGAAGTGATAAATAAAAATAACTTTTGAACCCTCATTTGTTGTCCCGTGTCCTCAAATATGTTGTGTCCTTAGCGGGACGTAACAGTCCCATAATTCTATGTAATTTCCTGGCTGATTTCTAATTTCTTGTCACCTCATTAGCTCCCATTCTAATCTTATGAGCTATAATATTGTTTATTTTTTAAATATATCCAAGTAGATATAAAATTAAAAAAACTCACAGGAAACCGCATGGTGTCCCTTTTTTATTTAAAGGTAAATCTGCAATTATTTAAAACATTTTTGGTCCTGCGTAGGCTTTTTGATGACGTACAGGGAAAGTTTCAAGCCCTTTAGAACAAGCAAATTATTAAATAGAATAGATTATGACATTTCTTAATATAAAAGCAAAACAACTAATTTGAAACTGTAAAGTTACATATTGAAATCCTAACAGTGATAAAACCAAACAAGACACAAATAAACATTCATTTTTATTGTGTGTAAGGGAGGTAAAGTTGCCTGCTGTTATTTGAAGTAAATATATTTTTGGGAAAATACTGCCATCGAGTGGTTAAAAAAAAAAGGTATAGTAATGCAGTTTTATTGCAGTTAAAAAAAAATCAGCATTATGAAAACAATTGCAGAAGTGTGTTGTAATTATCTGCTTTGGAGGACAAAAACAGGTTTATTTGAAACAAGTATGCTGAAATGGTAAAATAATTGTTTTTCAAGCTTGATTTTACAGGATTCCCATCATCCCCGACTGTTTTCACTTCCTTAATGCATGCAGCCCTCTTCATGTGCTTT